GGATTTTGGGGTCATTTTGGGATCGTTTGGGGAGATTTTGGGGTCATTTGGGGGGATTTTGGGGACATTTTGGGGTCTCCTCAGAACTGGGGCATTTTGGGGGGATTTTGGGGTGGATTTTGGGGTCTTTTGGGGTCCCTCTGACCCCCCTGGACCCTCCCCAAAACCATCGGGCTGTGCCGCGTGGGGGGCGACGGGAAATGGGGCCGGATTTGGGGTCATTTTGGGGGATTTTGGGATCTCTCCAGAAATGGGGATTTTTGGGGGGTATTTTAGGGTGGATTTTGGGGTTTTTTGGGGGTCATTTGGGGGATTTTGGGGTCATTTTGGGGGATTTTGGGATCTCCCCAGAACTGGGAGTTTTTGGGGGTATTTTAGGGTGGATTTTGGGGTTTTTTGGGGTCATTTGGGGGATTTTGGGATCTCCCCAGAACTGGGGATTTTTGGGGGGTATTTTAGGGTGGATTTTGGGGTTTTTTGGGGTCATTTTGGGGGATTTTGGGATCTCTCCAGAACTGGGGATTTTTGGGGGGTATTTTAGGGTGGATTTTGGGGTTTTTTGGGGGATTTTGGGGGATTTTGGGATCTCTCCAGAACTGGGGGTTTTGGGGGTATTTTAGGGTGGATTTTGGGGGTTTTTTGGGGTCCCCCTGACCCCCCTGGACCCCCCCAATAGCATCGGGCACAACGAGGTGATCGGGCTGTGCCGCGTGGGCAGCGACGCCGACGGCCCCGGCCGCGAGCACTGGGCACAGATGTTGGCAAACCCCCGGAAACCCATCGAGCACTGGCACACCCTGGTGGAGGTCTGAGCCCCCAAAAACCCCAAAAAACCCCCAAAAAAAACCCCAAAAAACCCCAAAAAAACCCCAAAAAATCACAGATCCCATAGGAACCCCATAGAACCCATAGGGACCCCACAGATCCCATAGGGACCCCATAGATCCCCCCAAACCCATCGAGCACTGGCACACCCTGGTGGAGGTCTGAGCCCCCCATAAAATCCCCAAAAAAACCCCCAAAAACCCCCCAAAAATCACAGATCCCATAGGAACCCCATAGAACCCATAGAAACCCCATAGAACCCACAGGGACCCCATAGGTCCCACATGGACCCCACAGATCCCCCCAAACCCATCGAGCACTGGCACACCCTGGTGGAGGTCTGAGCCCCCC